GGACATGTGGGAATGGTCCAAAGCTGCGCCAGGGGAGGTTTAGGCTGGGAAGTAGGAAACATCTCTTTACCGAGAGGATGGTCAGACACAGGAAGAGGCTTCCTAGAGAGGTGGTCAATGCCCCAAGCCTGTCAGTATTTGAAACATTTGGGCAATGCTTTTAACAGCATGCTTTAACATTTGGTCAGCCCTAAATTGGTCAGACAGTTGGACTAGGTGGTCATTGTAGGTCCCTTCCAACTGAAAAACTTCATCCTATATTATTAATATTTAAATTTAACAGTTGCTGTGCTCAACACTATTTCTGCAGAGTGAAATCCTCTATCTTTCCACTTCTGAGATTGATTGTATGTAATATCTCAGGCATCACTATACAATGTTGTTGAGGCAAAACCCCTCAGTCTTGAATACTTTTTCATTTTACTGTGTCCATCAGTACAGGCCATGATTTCTCAGGCAAAACAATCTTTGCAAAACAGAAGGAGTACTTTGAGTTGGAGTACCTGTGTTTCAGGGACTCTCTAAACAGTATGCAGCTACCACCTTGTCATCTTACTCAAGCAACAGTAAAAGGACTTGTACCAGAAGAAATTAAGAGTTCCAAAGATGAGACTAAACATTATTCATATTAAAACAGTTATATCAACTGTAGATTATAGTATCTCTTGTGCGATATGTTGCTGGAGAGACTTTGCACAGGAAGAAATGACAAGCAAGAAGGCTCAAAGGTTTTGATAATTTCCCTTTACACTTCTGTTGTCCGAAAAAAGGATTCATCACCCAGTGTGCAATAGGTCCGTAATCACACACTCAGGAGAGACATTGCTTATTTATTTTAGGGTTGTGCAAGCCTAGGTGCTTGGTGGTTTCCCACAAATGAAGCACACCAACAGGACTTCTCATGCTATATTTATACACAAAACTTGCAGAGTTAGTAATTTTCAAAGTCCATCCTCTCTACAATGATTGGTTAGTAATTTACATACAGTTATTATACTGCTGACATTATACTTCTACTGTGCATGCTTAGGGGAAGGGTCTTCACATGGGCAATATTGACCTATAGCTGTGATTGTTAGTATTATAATGAGGGTAGTTCAGCTAAGGATACATGGACCTTGAGTGTGATTGCTAAGTTGGCAATGTACCCTCTTCAAGGTTTAATGGCTTCAGGATGTCCTTGCTCAAAGAAGGCTATCTACTTGTTCTTCTGATTAGGGATGCCTTTGGCTTTAACATATACAGCGAACATCTTTCTTGACCTAAGCATAATATTGCTACATTGTTCTGAAAGTTTAACCTTCAACACATGCGCTTATTTTGCCACTTCTTGCAACTAAGCGACAGTACAGATCGCAACACAGGTGAGCTGTGTGAAGACACATGCTATTGCTTTTGTATTTTCTGAAGGTCAGTATTGTTCCTCATCCTCTAGGACATCATTCCTAGTCATTTGCTACATCTACTGAGTTTTTTAAAAGCTGCTGTCTTTAATTAGAGGAAATAGTCAGAAATACTTACTTTTTATATATTAGTTGTAGTTACCTAAGTTGCAGTATGAGTGTGATTATGTTTAGTTATGGAGTAGTGCAACTTCTAGAAACACAGACTGTTAAATATACTGCTAAAAAGTTTGGGAGTGGTTATTGGGCATTTCCTAGGCATTTTATTGTCTCATAGGAAGTAACTTTTGAAGCCAGAGTTCTGTTCATGTTGTGTATGAACTTTAAATTGTGCCATGGCATTTTTTCCAAAAGTTTATCCATCAAAAGATTTGAAAAAATAATACTATATTTATATTATTAGAAAAAAAATCAGAAGCATTTTTTCCTTTAAATCATGTGGCAAAAGTAGTCTACAGCACTTGTTGAGCATTATCAAAATGTGCTTTTTCAGATTGCATTTAATTTGTCCATGTCTCAAGTGTTTGTAACAAAAAAAGAGAAGGCACCCTCTCCCTCGCTTTTTCTAAGAGAACAGTAACATGATATCAGACATAAACAAGGAGAATTTGATGAGAAGGAAGACAAGCCTACTTTACTTCCAGTGTCTTTTCTCAGATGGCTCAGTCCTGGTCACCTTGACCCCTGTGGCTAAGAACCACCAAGGACCATACCCGTCAGTGTGAACTATACAGTATCAGCTCTATGATATTGTGTATTTGCAGCTTATTTAGCATATAAGTGTTAAAAACTTAACACTCTTCTGTACATGAGGATGTTTAATAGTGTGTAAGAATTGACCCTTACCAAGAAGAGCAGTGTTAATGAATGAGCTTAGATTAAATTTAAAACAGGCCTGATGTGTCCGTCTCCTAAACACTCCCATCACAACAATTCTGATTGCCTGATACACGTGTCCACTCAGACATGCACACTTGCATACATTCAATTGAAAAAAAAAAAAAAAAAAGTTTGTTCTTAGTTACCCAGTGGAAAGCTAGTACTTACTTTATCCCCTGATTTCTTCTTTTGCACTGGGATTTTGTCACCTAAACCCAATTCTAGATAACTATGCATTTTTTGGCATGAATAAAGGATCTGAATTGTAGAGAGTGTATTTGTTTTTATTTTAGTTGCTGCTTTTTGTTGCTGCTTTCTAGAGCAACTGGCATTCTCTTCCATGGAGATTCAGCAGATTATTGAAGTAGATTTTTCTAATAGTATGTTAGCAGATAAAGATGGGCAATGGGTTTTCTTTTGGCTTTTTATACCCCAGATAAGTTTTACAAATAGGAATTAATTTGCATTAACATATTGTGAATCTTACAATAATCAGCTTTCAGTTTTATGCAAAGATCTGTATGTATGTATTTTGAGTTTAATTTTATAAATATTTTCTGACTATTTGGTAAATGAAGCTATCTGGGCTGTGCAAGAAAAGCCTCAGCAGTGTACTTTGTGATCAGTTGTAACTGTATTCTAAGCAAGTTCACATTCTCATATAAATTAGTGGAAAAACATACTTCTGTGGTTTATTTATTATTTTAAAACTGGCAATTTATCAAGTGATTTTTCTTGAAATTTCAATTTCATTATTACATTTCAGATTATGTATTTTGAGTAAGATGGAAACTTAAACTTGTTTCCATAAGTACGGCTGCAAGTAAACAACCAATTTTAGTCCAGAAAATAGCTTTTGCTTCTGTCAACATGTTGTTTATTTTCTCCCTGAGATAAAAAGTTCAGTTTTCTGATATTTGTACCAAGATAAAGTCTGTAAACAAGATTAATATAGTGTGGAAAAGGTTGTCAGCAGCCCTGGCAAAGGAAATAAGTTGCCTGTACACAGAACATACTGTAAACTGAATAAAAGTGTCAGGTCCACCATGAGATAATGTGATCATGAACCTCTAACAAAGCATGACATAGGCACAGTTGGCTTTTCTTATAGCCACAGTGTAGAAAATGGATTACTGTATTCCAGGGATACCCACTGGAATAGCATGAAAACTTCATTTTGAGATTAATGCAGGACGTAACTCTCAAGAGCTGAGCTACATGTTTACCTATAGTGTTAAAGTAACAGTTTAGTTATTAATCTTAAAATTTTGAAATTACATATTAAATACTTGTTCGTGTTTCTGGGTCTGTTTTTATTAATTTAAATTCCTTGCTCTTATTATTAGGTGAACTATGATATTGCAAAAGTAACGTTTGGTCACTGTTTTATTATCATGTGGCTATTTAAGGCCATGTAAGTCTAGTAAAACAGTAAACTCAAAATGCAGGTAAAGCAGTAGGTGCTCTTCTCCCATGTCGCTGCCATGATTTCCCCTCTAGGGATTTGTATGTTTGCATAGATCTTTCTGTGGTAATGTATTACCAATTCTTTTCAATCGCCATCAGCCAGAAATGTGACAACACTGTAGGGTTTCTCAGTTCAACCCCAAGTGACATCATTCTTCAGGTCAGAGAAACATTTGGTCAAACACCAACCACATGGAGCTTTCAAATTATTCTGCAAGTTTTCTTTGAAAGTTTTCCAGACTTGGAGTTCCAACTGCCCTGGCTTGTCTCCATCATGACACCAGATGAATAGGGATATTTTTCTTGAAAAGTTAAGCGCATTGCTCTTATAATAAAGAGTAGGCTGCTTTTATCTGTGAATCTTCTGCTTATGTACTTTTGACAAGCCTGAGCCATATAAATGCATTATCATTGAGTTTTTATGGTCTCCTTTCAAAACTGGCAGAACATCTGACGTCATTCCCACCTCTGGTCATCTACTGACTATACAAGGAACTGAAAATTTTTTCCTGCATTCTTTCCCACAGGAATAGTTTACCTTCTGCTCTGGTTCTTCAATAATGAGTTTCATCAGGTGGTCTCTTATTATCTTATACCTATCTACATGTGCAGACAAATCAAGCAGATTCTAGAAATCAGAATGCATTCAAACAGCTTTATTTTTGAGCAATACCAGAATATCATCATCTGCAAAAGTCTGCATGTGCTACCATTCAGTCTTGAGATCATTATTAAATTGATCATATTGTATATTTTTGGCTTCAGTGTATATAAAATATGAGACAAGGACTACAGTACAGTGTGGTAAAAATTATTTTAGCTTTGCTTTCTATTTCACAACAACTTTAATTTTGAAAGTTTTGTGTTAGGATACAAAGGTTGGGAGTGTGTTTTAGTAAATGTAAAGGATAATATGTTGAAGATTATTTTTCAAAACATTTAACTTTCATTTTTTGGAGATAAAGTGGTTCATGGGTGGGTTCAGTGTTCAAAAGTAACATAGGCCCCTGACATCTCGAAATGTGTGATACTGACATCCAATCAAAATTACACATAAAGGATTTTGGTATAAATCTTGTATAGCACTTTCTGCACTCAGACTTTACTTAGAAATTGCAGATATTGCTAATTGCATTTACTGGATCTAGTGTACTGTCTCTTGTGTGTGTGATTTTTTTTTTTAATAAACAATCGCTGCGTGCGTATCTTGCTCCATTATTCAAAGACTTTTTTCCTACTTTTTTCCATTAGATAACTCCAGGACCAGGCAGTAGCAGGAAAACAGTTCACTTGTCCCAGGATTCTCTTCACCATGAGTAAGTATCACTGATGGGAATTATAACTCTTTATCATTGTTTGCTTTACAGTAGTACCTCTATCCCAAAGCCACATTTTACAACTGTACAAACATGTGATAAGAGAGTCTCAGCTCTATTACACAATGGTCTTTATTTAATAATAGTATTTATAATCCTTTGTAATTCATTTAAAGTTTCTTAAGGAAAGAATGAAGTTCAGTGCTTCGTAATGTCTTTTTATTAACTTGCTAAATATATGTTTTCCTAAAACACAACACTTTTAAGACTAGATACCAAATATGGGTTATTTAAAAAGACCTGCTTTATTTTTTTCCAAATGGAAATTCAGAAATGCCAAGCTTGAATATATGAAAATAAATAGGGAACACATCTTTGAATCTTATACTTGATGTGTCATGTGAAGAAGAAAGTTATCATATATTCCACAAAAATACATTGAATTAATTGTTCAGAGACATGTAAGTAGGGAATGTCATTCAGTTCATCTAGTTACTCTAGTGTGTCATTACTGTAAACACTTACTCTGTTCAGCTGACGACATTTAGCAGCATTATTTTTTGGTTATCTCTTTTGAATTCCAGTAAGAAGATTAAATTTTCCTGTATTTTCCAAATCAGAAATCTAAAAGACAGACACACATGATTAGGAAATAATATATTTGGAGATACTTTTATATGTTCTAACTGCTACTAGGTATAGCATCCACAGTTTAAAACAAAAGTTTCCAAAGACATATACTACAAACATCTGATCAGCAGTACCAACTGTTTTATGCTACTAATCCACTTTTGCTGGACCCCATAACTTGCAAATGTGTGTGTTAAACAAAGACGCTGTAATTTCATAAGATATTTCTACTCTAAAGTAATTCAGCCGATATTTTATACGTATGACTTTTGTTTATTTTGTTAAAATAAACAAGCAAACAAATAACACTGATTAATTAAATGGACAAAATCATAAAAATCAGTGTGATGTGAATATCACTGTATCATTACAAGAGGTCTTACTCTTTGTGAAGGGTTTTTAATGTTTAATTGTGAGATGTATTCAAATTACTTTGATATATTTTTTCAATAGAAATAAATTTTACTAATAAACTAGTTTGTAATCCACTGATTTGACACAAATTAGCAGTTTATGTGGAGGAGAATACCCCAGTTTGCTGCTCCTCCTTGAGTGTTTGCTGTTGACACTGGTCAGAGACAAGCCACTCATCTATGTTTCCCATTTGCATCAACTTCTGGATGTTTGTGACCTTATTTGTTGGGTCCCTTGCAAATCTGATGTTTTTTCTTTTCATCCACTGCAAACCTCAAAGTTGTGTGTGCATGAAACATTGTTTTCCTCAGATTTTGAACTATTTGATACAGTTGATGAATGTTTCATGTCCAAAATATATCAATGTCTACCTTATCTCAGAGGATACTTTTAACTTTATTGCTTTCATTCTTTTTTTTCATTTCCAACTTCTTTTCTTTCACGACCTTAAAAGTAGAAAAAGGAGTTAGCAGTGTATAGGTTTTGGTGACAGCTGGTCTTGTATGCAAGAATGAGAGGTTTGACTGTTCATCAACACTCACAAAAAGTGAGTGACAAAAACCCACAAAACTTTTTTTTCTTTTAAAAAGTCACAAATCTAAGAGTAATTTATACCATACAGTGGAATCTGCTTCTTCTCAGTCTATTAATTAAATTAAAAATTTTAGTGTCATGTGGCTGCTGTGGGGAAAAAATGAGTAAATTGCATTGAATTTAACTACTTCAGAAAAATCATGACTAGGTTAAGCTTATAATCTTTGATTATACTTCTGGAGGAACTTACAAGAATAATAGAAGATAATGTGATGGGATTTTTGTGCAATATTATAATGAATGGAATTATTATATCTTTCACCCAAAACCTATTGCTTGCTTACATGAGTAATATGTAGTAATTATATGTCATTTCAGATCCCCCTTGTTTTAATTGTTTTTTCCTTCTCCTTTTTGTTTTGCAAGTGTCAAGATTTGCCCCAGGTTTGTATAGTGCTTACTATAGCTACATTCAGATGTTAATTCGGTTATATGTGATCACAGTGTGTATGTGAAGTATTAATATGGTTTTACTGCTATTGAGGGAAAGTCACGTTGTGAGTTCTTGTCACTGCATGTCGAATTCTTAGTCCAAATTTCCATCTCTGTGAAATAAGGCTGCCAGTAGTCAAAATTCTGCAATTGTATGAAGATATGAAGCCACTGAATTTATAGACTTCGAATTCTACTTTAGATTCAAACTCAGACCTCAGTTTGTGAAATAATACATTAACAGCTACCAGGTAGTCCACAGTACTTAAAAATCTTTTCAGCTATAATCATTAATAAGTAACAACACTTCAGTACTAAATATGGAATTACTTTTATTTATAGCATGTGCATTATAGTATATTAAAATACAATCGGTTTTATATTATTTTAGCTTGTTTGACAAAATATAATTACCTATAAAACCAATAGCTACTCAGAAGTGAAATTTGTGGTGCATTCTTTCAAAACTGTTACAGACTTAGAGAGTTCAATAAAAATATCCCATTAAAATAAAGCATAGCCAAAGGCTGTATTTTCCTGGCAGACAATAAAATACCCAAAAGCACGCACAGACTGGTCATATGACAGCATGTGCTTTGTTAGTTATATTGTTAAACCTGTCTTTTCTTTTTCTCCCACAGCCACTGGTTTAGCCCTGGGGCTAGGAAGGAACATAGCCAGGTAAGAACTGCTTTGATCAAGAACAGTTTACTTGAGATGTATAAAGGAATTTAACTACCTCTACTCCAGGGGTAGTGGGCTAATATTTTAAGAAATTATAAACAAAGCAGATATGTTTTCATATTTTCTTGTAAAGAAACATATTAAAAGCACTGCATTTCAGAAAGTCCCTTAATTAAAAGTCTTGAATTAGTCACTTACTTTCAGTTGTGTCTTTGAGTTTTAACAGGTTAAATGAAAAATCTGATTATTTTTTTAATTTATTTTTGTTAATCATAGTATCTCCAAATGGTACGTTTCTCAAAATGCTGGCAAGCAAAATATTGGACTTGCAAAATCAAGAAATATGAACAGAACAGCGACGAGCAGGCAGGCTTCTACAGGAAGATCTTCTATTCCTTTTTTCTGCATTTCATTGGTTAAAATAACCACAGCAGTAAAAAAGGAACGGATAAATCTTCATCATGGTGCAGATATTGGTGAAAATATCTCACTAGTTTGTCATCTGAGCCCTTACAATGTAGTCCCTAGGAGGTCCAAGCCTAGAGATGTGGTTGAGGAAATGTGAAGACACATTTAATATTTGTTAAGCAACATAGCTCTTTAGCTTGTCTTCAGACATGGAAAAATATCTTCCTTTATGGATGGTAGTAAGGTTTAAACAGAACATACTGTCCAAGAACTATAAAATGTGAACATAAGTCTGGTTTTATTTTATAAATTCTCTTCAACTTTTAAGTAAACTACCATCATCAGTGCATTGAAATTTAAGACTAAAGTTACATAGTACATTTTTTAAGTTGGTAAAAATTGATATAACAGTTGATTTCATTAAATCTGTGTGAGCTTGCTCGTACATTTACAAATTTAATTAGATTTGAAACTTCAGAGTGAAATGAGATCTATAGAATCTTTGACGGGTTCATCTTAGGATGGTCCATCACGAACACTTGTAGCTCCAGTAAGTTGTAGTTTAAATCAGTGTATACTGATTTCCTGTCCCCTCCCTCTTCTTTTGAACTCCAGAGAAAGCCGAATCTCTCAGTTATATTACTTGCCCAAAACTGCCAATATATATATAAAACATAGTACAGTTTTAGCTGTATATTGTGAACTTCTATCATGTTACAGTAAGCTGACATCTAACATCTAAATAGATGGCTTTATATGATTCGTATTTAACTCTTATTATCTTGAAACACATTTCCTAGTAGAAGAAACACATCAAAAGAGCATTTTAAATATTGAGCATACTTTGTCTTAATTCATCATGATAAAAAGTTGTCTTGGGCTAATCTTTATCCTATTCCTGAAATTTTGATGCTATAAGTAGTCGAATTTGCTAGGTTAGAATGAGTTTGAGTGATTTGGGGGTTTTTTAATTGCTTTTTTTTAAATATATTGGTTGTCTCACATAACAGAGTAGTTAACTGAAGATGTACTGTTTACTTCTTTAAAAGATTCTAAGGTTAAAACAATATGGAAGTTTCCATGCTGAGAAATACATTAACTTACATCGTACGTAGTGGCAATATCCATTCAGCATAGAGTGTGAGAAATGTCTACTTTAGCTGTTATATAATGACAAATTAATTCATTTTCTCAGATAATAGTAGATTTGAATTAATTTTAAATTTTATGCATTTATTTCATATTTCCTAAGAGCTGTGTTTTCAGAGCTTATCTGAAGTTCACTGTATTTGTAACTTGCAGACTATAAATGAATTTGAAGTAAACCTAATGTCATCAAATAATATGGTACTGGTAGATAATGGGAGGGTTTTTTTAGACATGTAAAAGAAATAAGAATGATGGTGCAATGTAATTATGACAATTTTGACAGCCTATAAAATTCTCTCTGAATTTGTGAAGATCCATAGTGTGCAACTATTGGTTGCATAGGTTTACTACTTTCTCTTTTAATTAATTTCTGGAGTGCAAGTTATGTTAAAACACAAGTAATTAACTAGATAAATTTAAAGTCTGGCAGGTGATCTGGATTTATACATGCTATAACTACACGTATCAGTCAAAGAATATTGATAACAGTAAGACTGTTCTCCTGAAATTGATCATGAAATGATTGTATGAATGTCATACTTGTAAAAATTGTGACTACATTTAAATACGAATTGTCAATGGTCTAATTCATTGACATTAAGAAAATTTTAAAAATATTTTGCCAAAATATATTAGAATAAGGTGTCTTACCTTTATGTATCATTCAGATCGTCTTATAAAAACAGGCTGCACTGTTTTGCTGCATCTGAGAACTAGATATTTGAAATGATAGGAGCACGCCTTATACAAGAAGCAAGCTATAGAGAGTTGGGGAAAACATAATCAAGTTTAATTTTATAGATAGGTGTAATTTATTGGAGTCCATGCTCATGTACAACATTAAGGTGTGGTTGGCCAAGTCCTAAATTACATAGTTTTCTAATTTCCAGTGGACTTTTAAATGTGTTTGCTGTGAATGTTAGATCCGTTTACCTGTAGTCTGTTTCTAAACATTCTTTCATTCTGTATTCTCTTCAATATATGAGAAGTTTCAAGAAACTTTTTTTTTTGTACTGTCTAGTTTTAATTTCTTTGATGTAACTTTTTGACAGTCATTTTTAACTGTTACTGCCACTTTACTCATCCTGATAAATATCATAATGCTGGTAATAGACTTCTGAGTATTGGAGACAGTCTGAATGAAAAGTCTTCCTTTATTTGTCTAAAAATAAAAAGAGTGAATTGGAACTTGTTCAAGAAGCTGAGTCACCATTTCAGTTAAATGACTCCTTCATTATTCCTACTTGCCCACCATTATGGGAAGCTTTAATACCATGTTTTTGTTGTTTCTGCAACTTTCAAATTACAATAGCTCCTGGGGCTCAGAGGAGTTTATAACTGTTTCATAACAGCTTAGATACAAGTGCCAACCTGAATAATTTTTCATAATTTAAGTATTCTCCAACAGTTTCTGTTATACAAATTTTAAAATTTAAATTGAAATTGTGAAAATTGTACAATTTTACAGTGAAATTAATTGTGAAATTATGAACTGTTTTGCTTTCTAATATGCTTTGAGAATGTTTTAGTTTTTACATTTTCAATTATTTAGGAATTTTTAATTGTTGGATATAACTTGAAATAGTAGCAGTTATTGTAAGATTCTATTAGATGTTCATCTCTTAGAGTCTTGTGTAAAAAGTATTGAAAGATTACTCAAGACAGGAAAGAATGGCATTGTCAGGATAACATTTCTGAAAAGCAAATAAAGTCATTGCTTGTGAGAGTATTCTGAACTTTTTTTTTTTAACAGCTTCAACTGTTGCGAGACAACAGATCAGAGAGAGGACACAAGAAGAACAGCTCCGTAAAAACAGCTAGCAGGTAAGTTAGTGCTGCAGTTGTTAATACTGTTTATGAATTTTTTGATTTCTTAACTCAAATTTTTATATAAGAAATTACACCATTCTTTTGGGGTATTTTCAGAAGTCTTCTGTTTTTTTTGTGATTTACTTTCAAGAATTTTTTTTATATGGCATAATTTTTGCCTGAAATGGGTATTAGACTTTATTGGTAACTTATATCCAACTACACTTACAAAACTTAATCTCTTCAGTAGATATCAGAATTAAATGGATGCCAAAGTAAAGTTTCTGTTTCTGTCATTTAAGTGCTGAAAATGTAGAAAATTACCATTATGCATACATACTTTTCAAATCAAGAAGATAGCTCAAATACTGTAACACTTAAATTGGTTTTATATCATATTTTGATAATAAAAATGTCATTGTGACGACTTATTAAAAACTAATCTAGTTCCATCCTCTAGCTTTTTTCCTCCCACTCAAAAGACAAAAAACGCAACACTGAATTGACGGGCACTGGTCTAGGAGTCTGTTCCTAGCGGGCTGTTTATGTACATGTTACCTGCTGAATCTCTTCTGCCAAAAATTTATTTTAATTCTAGTCTTTTTTTTTAAGTGAGAAACTACAGAAATATTTCCCTTGATATGCACAACACCTTACACAGTTTTTATATTGTTCTGTACAGATGGCAATGTGCTATATAATATATAGTAGATCTATATCATCATGTAATACTATGGTTTTGAATGAGATGGTTGTCTTTCAGACACTTCTAGTATGTGTGGTCATCCTGAAATAAGTTTTTAATACTGTTAAATACTTAGTTTGATGAATATCTAGAAGGGAGACTAGTACTTCTTTCAAAAACATACATATTAAATACAAATTATGTAATTGTATACAAGTTCTGGTTACACGCTTTAAAAAATTGGTTATGCAAGTTTTGATCGTACATCTTCAGAAAGCTTCGTCCATTAAATCTTTTATATTAATTACAAAAAATCAGAAAAAAATTCTGCATATGTTTTCTGGCAAGTGCACTTGTTAAATCATATTTTTGCTTAGAATTTTAGAATGAGTTCACTTTAGATAATGAATTTTCATCATAAACACACTATTGGGCTGCTTCCGTGAAACTGAGGTATAAAGTGGATATAAAATGAGCAGTAAGAAATAGATTATATTTTAAGTCATTTTAGAATCTTTTTTTATGCTGCAGCAATTTAAAATGGTGTTTGAGGAATCAATCATATAACTTATGTGTCGTTATTTTGACCAGTGAAGCTCTTGTGAAGTGATTGTTACCTACACAAGCAGTTAGAGAGTTTTAAAATGGTGTTAAATAGCTGAAGTGATCTTCAGCTGTTCTTCATGTCCAATCAGCAGTAGACTATTATCCCAGTAAACATCTGGTAGGGTTGTGTAGAAGCAATAGGTGGCAAGTCCAAGACTGAAGACTGGCATTTTCTATAAAATATCTGTAATATCAAAGTAACACTTACACGAACAATTATTATGACATACATAATGCCACAGTATATTATCATACTGTAATACTCTTAAAAACAGCAAAGTCACCTGCTAACATCTCCTGGTACCATCATCTCTGTTTTCAAAGGCTTTTTCCTCTGTATGGAGCCAGGTTATTTCAAAACAGTCATTTGTGCTTCTTCAGAAAACCACCGTTTTCTCTGCCTACGACAGAAACTTTACTAGTAATTCTTTAAAGTAACTTGAAGAGAAATTATCAAATTTCCATGAAAATGAAATTTTAGAATATCAAGTCATATACATCTTACAAGACGCATATTGAACAAATTTTAACATTCTTGCTACAATTTAGCTGCTGAAAATAAAAATTTAATTTTCACAATGTGCAAATGTTTTTCTCCCAGGCCAATAGCATGTCAGGTGACTACTTTCTTCCTGTAGTTTAAGTGTTAACCTAAAATTTTGCTTTTTACCAAAAGCTTTTACAACCAAAATAGAGATTGAATTTCAGATATATAGGAACACCACAAAATGAATACATAGTGCATCTCCTCATAGTGCATCTCCTCATATGTTCATAGTACCTATCCTCATTCAGTTCAAGACAATTCCTCTGTATTCTGTTCCTTACAAATGAAATTCATGGTGTGTAGTGAACATATGTCAGATTTATGTATGGTTAATATTTAAGGCTGATTTTGTTATGACTTAATTTTAAATTATCACTTCTACCAAAGGGGTTAATCTTAGTTTTGATAATACAGAGAAGTAAAATGTTCATGGTTAACAAGGTACCTATAGAAACTACTGGTTTAGTAGCAAATAGTGTTCAGAGTTAATGAAATGGTGAATGTCACCTTAGTTGCAAATGTGCGTCTTCGTTACTATGTATGAAATCATCATATGGAAATCTGTCATGTAGATTTTTGCATGTGCCCAAATACTTTAAAAGCCACTGAACTACAGTGATACCAGTCAAATATCACAAGGTTGTTACAGAATTAAGTAACATTGTCGTAAATCTTTAATTATTGCAGTGTACTACATGCATGTGCAGTTACATCTTCTGTTGAATACAAGTCTTGACTCACACCTGAAAGTTTGAAGCTGTCTAAAATTGACTCTAAATTAATTCTTGCATGTGCTAAACTATTACAGTTGACACACCAGGGTAATTCAGTTGAGTAACCCCCTCAACAAGAGGCATACAAAAAGTTATGGCCATGACCTTATTTTGTCTTACTGTTTGTTGCTAAATGCAGTGATAGAACAGGAGCAGTGGGTAAGTATTGAACATTCTATAAAATTATTGTACTTATTCAGAATATAGTTTAATCTGCTTTTATTGCAAGACTGAATTTCTCTGGGTCTTTCTCTGTATAGTTTTCACAGAACTGTATTTCTTGTTGTGGGACTACCTTTTTGTTTGCTGTTGTGGAAGACCTTTTTTCTGGGTTTTGTATGTATATGGATATGTATATGCACACACATTTTTCTATGCTTGTCTTGACTTTTCTTACCCCTTTTGGATGACTGAACACAGTTCTTGTCTGAGCATGTAGACAATATGTAAATACCCATATTACATTAGATCAGTGACTTGTGGAATAATTTACTCTGTAAGTACATCAGAAAGGTGTGGAGCTCTAAGCACAGTGGTGATCTGCAGCTTTCTCTTTGTGGTGAAATAATACTGATATTTTCTGGGTGAGCTTTACTGTACTGGGTTGCTTGTTTTAGGTTTGTTCTGTCAAAATTAATAATAATGAGCCATTCCTATATAAACTGACATGAACTTTTACTAGTGGCAAGATAATTACATTGAGAACTGTTGATATAGCTACTGATGAACCAGATGTTAAGGAGGGGGACAGTCCTACACCACAAAACTTAGAACCTGGTTAGATTCTACTATGCTGATACAGTTCAACACGTGATCTTCTGTATTCGACACATTTAAAAAAAAAAATATATATATATATATATTTATGCTACCTTTACAGATAAGCTTTAATCTACAGATACGTAGTTTTCCCATTAATTATTTAAATTATATAAAAACTACTAAATAATACTGGTTTAGAAGCTGCATTTATTTTTCCTGTGTAGCCTTTGAAACAGTTCTCTGTTTACATTATCTCTCTGCATTAGGACAGGAACAGTCCCCTTCCCAATCCAGCTACATTGCTTAAAGGTGTTTATTCTTCCAGTTGCTTGTTTTCATCCTCTACTTTTTTGCCAGTAAAGAAGGTTTTTTTGTCTTCATTTTTTTAATATGCTTTGGGCAAAACCATACTGGTTAGTTCAACTCACCTATTTAAATTAAATTGGCTGGGTTTGTACAAACCATATTAGGGAGTGCTCACATGATTTCTTCCTCCGGCAGAGCTGTGGAGATGATAATCTCCAGCAGATGTGTGATAACAAATAGCTTGGGATAGTAATGTCTTCATCTGGCGCAGTTGTTAGCAGACCAAATGTCTGTCTGTAGCCTGAGGCTGTGGGCAAACAATTGAACATGATTGAGTTATGGCAAGTTAACAAGTTGGTGCTTGGCATCTGAACTGCCATAGCTGATCATGTGCTCATTGTTTGTCTGCTCCTGTCATGAGGTAAAACACATTTTCTTAAGTCACCTTTGTAAAATTTTATAAAAATGAGTTCTACCTAAAGAAGATTCCCCAGGGTTGAGCTTCATTTGGTCAGCAGGGGAGATAGCATTGAATTGCATTTTGCTGAGCTGTTATAACATGATTTTGAACATGTGATTATATTGATAAATATATGGGGGACCTCCATCATACAACTGTGTGCCAGTCTCTTAATATTAAATGTCCTTATCCTCACAATACCCCTATGAAGTTATAAAGTATTCTTATCTTCTTTTTGACAGAATAACCAGAAATAACCAGAAAACAGCTCTAGTACGAACTAGTTAGCCACTTCTTGTGGCTGCAAAGTAGACCATAGCTTGAAGTAGAGGTAATACTTTGATATTTCTTTAAAAATCAGCAGGAGTCACCTACTCAGCCATTACTGTAATGTGGCAGGAGGACTGTATGCCCGTCATCCAATGATCACCTCTATTTGAGCTGGCAGACTTCTCCTGACATGGTGAACAGCAACAAACTGAAATGCAGGTCTTTGCACATGTGGAGGAGACATTCTGGAAAGCAGACTCTGGGAGTAGTACAGGAACAGTTACGTTAAAGAAACGTCAGGTGCAACTAAATGGTGATAAGTGTCAATAAAATTCCAGAATATTAGTCAAATCTCCCCCTTGTTTTCTGCAACTGTGTCTTTCCCTCCTTTCTCTAGTTGTTCTCAATCCTGTTTAAATATGTGCCTTGTGTTTGGTACAAGAGGATGACTCAAGTATTTTCACTTTTTATAACTAACAGTATTCTCTATGAATTAGTATTTAAAGAGGCTCCTAAGAAAAAAAAATAACACCAAACTTGATGAGGGCTTTTCAAAAGTGTAGTGCTGCTTTGGTTAGAAATACAACTTTAGATCTTTCCCAGTTT